TTAGTATATATATATATATATATATATATATATATATATATTATTTTTCACAGTTAATTTATTTACCAGTCATACAGTTGTAACTTTTTATGGTACAATATAGTTTCGAAGTATAATTACATTGTCTGATATTCCAGTGTGTGGTAGACCAATCATATTATCACGGTGTTCTTTTGTTGTTGTTGTTTTTGGTTGTATGCACCAATCACCTATAAAAATATTTTATATACGCTATTATTTAATACGGTCAAAAGGTATCAGTGTTTTACTATATGAACCATATAACTGTTTTATTTCTATCAGTCAAGCCAATTACAATCTTTACGTCAGTGATTTCCACGTGACACCATAAGTACCAATGGTATGACGGTATTTAACTCTACACAGAATTTATTATCCCTCTCTGTAGTTAAAGATATTCCAAGAGAGATATCTAGGCAACTGAGGGAATAATGATACTGCGTAAAATATTTCTATCGTAATATAATAAGAATAAATAAATTCGGATATAAGTTTAACTGTCTCCAAGGTAAACAACATAAAAACAGGTGTAGATAATAAAAAAGCAAACTAAGTTTTCGCTAAGCCTTGTTCTAATTAGGCTTAGCATACATATAGAATATACGAACTTGCTATTATATATGTATTCATACATGTTATTTTGCTAAACCTTGTTTTAATTAAGCTTAGCAGACGTGCAAAGTATACGATATTACTATATATATATATATATATTACTATTCTTTTAAGAATGTACAGCAGTAAACTTAATTTTTGTGTTTTCCTGTATGAGGAGATTGTAAATCAAGTATTAGGATAACATGACATTTGATTTTCTCTGATATTACTTCTTCAGGCAGACAGTTTTCACCAATCCAGACAAACCGAAACAGGAGTAGCCTTACGATTGGGTGGAGAGGTGAGTGGTGGGTCACGTGACCCTGTACTAACTACTTTACAGTCTTTGTTTGCGTCTTCTGTTTTAACTTGTAACTTTAAAAGGGAGCGTGTGTTTAATTGAACAGAGCCGATTTCTTTAAACGGCTTGTTATCAGGAACAAAGTTGCATGCTTACTATATTTCATATTGAAATGTATTAATATTTATTTAGCTCTAAATTCACATTATGTAACAGTTAAAACTAACTTGAATACAACTCACCTTGATCAGTTGATTTTTCTTCCTGTGACATTTCAACAGTACAATAATTCTACCGTTTTTATTCATAAAACATTTCAGCAGTACAGCGTATTGACTTACCCTTGTGAAACGTTTCACCAGTACAGCGTATTGATTTACCCTTGTGAAACATTTCACCAGTACAGCGTATTGACTTACCCTTGTGAAACATTTCACCAGAAGTCAATACGCTGTAACCCTTGTGAAACATTTCAACCAGTACAGCGTATTGACTAACCTTGTGAAACATTTCACCAGTACAGTGTATTGACTTACCCTTGTGAAACATTTCACTAGTACAGCGTATTGACTAACCTTGTGAAACATTTCACCAGTACAGCGTATTCATTTACCCTTGTGAAACATTTCACCAGTACAGCGTATTGACTAACCTTGTGAAACATTTCACCAGTACAGCGTATTCACTTACCCTTGTGAAACATTTCACCAGTACAGCGTATTGACTAACCTTGTGAAACATTTCACCAGTACAGCGTATTGACTAACCTTGTGAAACATTTCACGAGGGAAGCTGTGACCACGTTGTGCAGTTTGATTAGGCTTAATTTCGAGAATGTACAATATACTTTGTACTTTAAAATTTTGCTCCGTCAGGAATGCTACTCATAAATTGTCTGTCATTTCACATAGAATATATTTCTTTGCAGGGGGTTATGCAGGGGGTTAGAACATATTGGATAAAGTAAAATATAATAATTCTATTCCTCTAGAAGTATTTTCGGTAATCCAAATGTTAAAATTTGACGAGTTAAAGAGTTAATTTTCTATGTGCTTTGGAATCTTGATGAAATGGTCGATTAACGTGTATTTATTTTGCATGAATATCTAACTAAATATTTATCAACTCTAATTCTGGCTTGCTATATATATTTTTTACGGTTTTTAATGTACCTTTTGTATGATATGGGTTCTTTTGTGAAGCTAGAAAACCCTGAATCTCAAAATAAAACAAAAGAAAATCTTCAAAATTAGCATTACTGTGTGCTTTTCATGTTTCTTGTTATCTTTACAAAGAAAAAGAAAAGGACGGGGCTTTTTTTTTCTTCTTTAACTAATTCAAGCCTTTGGTCTCTTGATCTTACTAGTCATACCCATTCTCCATTTGCTTAAACGAAGTGCCACCTTGCGGTACATTAACTTTACATTTTATGTTTTTTGATTAATAAATGCTAATGTATTTATCGGTAGGGTAGAACATAGATTACAAACTTGTGTTACAATAATTATTATATTTATATATTTACTTTACTTATATATACATATAACACAGAATCTGATATGTGTAATTGTCACCAGGGGGAGTTTATTATACATAAATCAAACGCCACTTGTGCACAGATAGAATATTAAAAACTAACTTACAACGTTGCATTGTTACACAACATTTTAGTTGTAGTAAAAACGGGGCACAGGCCGAAAAAAAAGCTACATGTTTTAGTGGGGTTCTACACCATCGTCCTCAGGGGTATGAGTTAAAATCTGATTCCGACTTATATACCCACATCTCCAAGTTACATTATATCGTCAGCGCCGTTTCGACTTCGAACAAAAGTCCCCCAATTCTCCCCGACGAACTTACAAAACAGATTTATAGTATTTCATTTTTCCCACATCTCGCCCACCATCTTTATTCAATATAATATGTTTAATTTTCTCAGTATCT